GGGGGGGGGGGCGCCCCGCCCTGCCACCCCCTCAGAAAGGGGGATGACTTTGTTCCTGGGATGTATTAAAGGGGGTCTTCCAGAGCTTCAGCCCTCGAGATTGGAGGTTCGGATTCTGTCGGGGCTGGGGGGGGGCATGGGGAGGTGACTCCATGAATCCAGGCAGGTGTGGGAGATAGGGTTTCTCCTGGTTTGGGTGGGCTTCTGTCAACAAAGGCTGGGGATCCAGGTGGCCCCCACATTCCTCTGTGTGCATCTGGGATTTAGGTTTGCAGAGAGTCACCAGATGGCCAGCCATCCAGCCTTGGGGGAAACTGGGGTGCTCTTGACCCGGAGCCCTGTGCTCCCCAGCCAGTAGCTCTCAGACCAGTGGGGGCCTTCCCTGGATGCTGAGTGGCTTGGAGAGCTAACTCCCCTCTGCAGCCCCTCCCCAGCCAGGTGTGATGGGGCTGGAGAACCCTGGGGCCCCCTTAGTACCAGTCCTTGGCTGTGCCCCCCCCCTCCCGCTGAGTCAGCAGTTGCCAAATCAGCAGAATGGTGGTGGGGGGGTCCCCCTCCTGCTTGGCCTGGAGCCCAGAAGGGGCTCTGAGGGTGTCAGCACCTGGGATAGGCAGGGCTCCTTGGCAGGACATGGGCTGTTTGACCTTGAACCTGGTTCTTTCTGGGTCTCAGTCTCCCATCTGCGCAATGGGAGCCCTGACAGGGTCTCCGAGCCCGGAGCAGCTGTGAGGGCGTGGAGCCTGTTAGGATTTACCCCGTGGCCAAGGTGAGCAGGAACTGCATTCTGAGCCATTGCGAAAGTCCAGGCTTGGGCCCAGCTCTGCCCTAAGTCCCCCAGCTGTGGGTCCCCAGCAAGGAGCATCCTGCCTTTGATTTCATGACCTGCCCCCTCCCCAACACTGCAGCTGTGTCAAGGGGGAGCCGCTTAGAGCGTCCCCCATCTTCATCGGCTACCCCAGATAAACACACCCCTGCAATCGATGGAGGCAGAGAGCTTGCTGTGCAAATTTGGCATCTGGGCAAGCCCCCTGCCTCCCTCCTTCTGAGATGTTCTCCCCCAGCCTTCCTTCTGCCTTCCCTGGGGAGGGAGTTGAGGGGAGCTGAGTCGTGCCTGGTTCCCATGCCATCCCTCCTCCCCCATGTTCCTGGGCGAAGGTGAGCTCTGGGGTGGGCCATGCCCCAGAGCAAGCGTAGGTAGTCACCAAACCCTAGCTGGGAATCCAGCCACCCTGCCTCAGTTTCCCTAGCTCTTGGCTCGCTTCTTCAGAGGGGCTCTCCTCAGAGCACGCTGGGATCTCCCCGCCTGTGGGGAGTCTTAGCTAGGTTGTGTCTCTCCCCCCTCTCCTAAGGAGAAGGGTCTGGATTCTTCCCAAAGCCTCACCAGATTTTAGGGGGTTGGACCTGGCATAAGAGGAAGACAGTGAATAACTTTAGAGTTACTATTATCGTTAATAACAGAGGCATGTCACCGAGGGCTGACTACAGGCCAGGTCCTGTGCTTGACACTTCCTATGGTCCTATCAGCATTTCCATTTTACAAATGGGGAAACTGAGGCCCAGAGAGGCAAAGTCACTTGCCTGAGGTCGCACAGGGATTGGAAGTCTGACTACTCCCATGCACACACCAGGTCAGACAGGCAAGGGCCACAGGGCCTGCTTTCCCACGCTTGCGGTGGGGCAGGGGCCGTGGGAGAGGCCAGGCTCTGGAGAGATCAGAGGTCTGGAGGGCAGCCTCCTCCCGCCGCCACCGGTGCCCCTACCTGATGGGAGCCTGATAAGGCCCTCGTGCGTCAGAGCCCTGCAGCTGACATGGGAGGGTGGCTCCCAGGAGGGGCTGGGGTCAGGCGGGGTCCACAGGAGGGGGCTCGTCTCCCAGCCCTTTGCTGGTGGGATCCCAGCCCACGGCTGCAGTTGGGGAAACTGAGGAATGGGAGCCTGCCTTCAAGAAGCTCAGGGATAGAGAACCCACAGAAAGAAATGAGACGTAGGGGGTCACCCAGCCACAGGTATCCGGGGGTAGGTGGAGCCAGGTGGGGAAACTGAAGCTCCTGGGGTTACTCAGCCCAGTGGGCCAGAATGGGAAACTGAGGCCCAGGGCACTACACGGAAGGGGGATCAGAGGTGAGAACCCAGAGAGGAACTCAGACACAGGCCACTGCCCAGTGTGAGGTGTTCAGGGATGGGGACCAGATGGGGAAATGAAGGACTAGAGGACCCAGCAAGGGGAGCTAAGGGAAGGACTCCAGGGAGGAAACTGAGGCACAGGGAGGGTTCAGCCAGCAGACAAGCCTCAGGTTGGAGCCAGCTCCCGGTGTCAGTGTCCCTGTTCCTTGGAATCCCTGAGGCATTTATGGATCAGTGACAAGCTGAACTGACGGGTGGCAGAGAGAGGGAGGGTGGGGCTGTTTGGGGAAGGGGTCGTGAACTGGGCTGGAGGTGGCCTTGGTTAAGAGCATGTGCACTGAGCCCTGTAGACCTGGGTTTGGATCCTGACTCTGTCGAGTTGGGGTGGGGAAGGGGAGCTCCCCCAGGGAGCTCACAGCTCAGACTTTACGGGGATCCGGGAGACAGACTCTTAACGCAGAGAGAAACAAGGGAACAGGATGATATCCAGTGCTCAGAGGCACCGGAGACCATTTTTACCCTGGTCACTGGGAGTCACTGAGGCGAGGGTGAAGTTTGAATGACAGGATGGAGCCAGCCATGACAAGATCAGGCACAGAGTGTCTTCAGCAGATGGAACAGCAGGTGCAAAGGCCCTGAGGCTGCAACTGAGCTTGGTGGGAGACAGGAGGCCTGTATGATGGGCCGAGGGGAGGAGATGGGATGGGCCGTGCAGCCAGATAACTCTTATCACGAGGCGGGGGATGCAGCTGGCTTTGGTTGGCTGATGGCTCACGGCTACTGAAGGGGATGGGGCACATCTGTCCTGTTGGTTGGGTTTTGAGGTCTGGGTGCCTGGTCTGTGCTTGCAGGGAGAGTCTGCTGAGGTCCTTCCCCACCAAAGGCTGAGCAATGTGCGCCCCCTGCCCAGGAAAATGCCACTGAAATGAAAAACTGGAGGGGCAAGGTTATCCCAGAGGGTGGCGTGAGGCGCCTGAGGGGAGAGTTCTGGGGGGAGCCTGTGGTGCCTCCCACTACGTATTGTCTCTTTAAGCTCCTCCATCTGCCCCAGGAGGTGTGTGTTGATGTTATGCCTGGTTTATGGAGCAGAGGAACTGAGGGCCACAGAGGGGAGGGGACTTGCCCAGGTCCACAGCCAGCAGGTGGGGAAGCCAGGTGTGACGCCGGCCCAGCACCCACTCGTCACCTCTGCTTTGGGTTCCCTGGGGCTGGGACTCTGAGCTCTCTTGCTTTGAGCCTCAATGTCCTATTTTTGTGGGTGGACACCCAGGGAGCCCATGTGTGGTGGGCTGGGGTCGCAGTGGGTGGGCTGTGCAGCCAGGCCTTGTTCTGCCTTGAAGCTGGGCTTTCTGTGTGACCCTGAGCAAGTGCCGTGCCCTCTCTGGGCCTCAGATGTGCCTCTTGTATAATGAAGGTGGATTGGGGTCCCCACCTATGACTGCTCTCTCACCCCCCTCCCCAAACCTCCCCCTTGCGCAGGTCTGGGAGCAGCGACCCCTACTGCATCATCAAGGTGGATGACGAAGTAGTAGCCAGGTGAGGAGCTGGAGGGGTTGCCTGGGCGAGGAGGGCAGGGCCGGGGACGGGGGAAGGGCACCTTCTAGGCCTGCGGAGTCCAGACACCCGTTCACGGGGAAAAGAGGAGCTGGGGGAGGGTGGTACTTACCCCAAGGGTGGATTTGCAGGCCTGATGGTGGGTACTTTGCACCCCGGCCTCAAGACTGGACAGCTGGGGCCACCAGCTCCTGTCTCTATCTGGCCCCACTGGCCTGCACCTTCCCCCTGGACTTGACGATGTCCCCGCTGGCTCCCTGGGGCTGACTCGGCAGCTGCCAGGCTGTGTCTCTCATGGTGGCCTCCCCAGGGGCGGGCATCTCACGCTTGGCTGGGCTGGCTGGTTCCCGGCCTGTTTGCTGGGTGCTGCGGGCACCAGGGTGCGTGTGCGTGTGCACCCAGCTGGGCCTGCTCGTGAGCGTTCGTGGGGGTGTTGGAGGGCTGGTGTCCAGATATGCGTGTCCCTGTGGGTGTGCAGGCTCACAGGGTCACTGTGCATAGGTGTGTGGTCTGTGTGCATGTGTGTGCACACACATGGGCTGCCCCGTACACACGTGTGCACTGTTGCCAGCTTATTTGGGTATCCAGGCGCCAATGTCAACGCATGTGAGGATGTGAGGGTGTTTAGTGTGTGAGTGAGTCTGGGCAGGGGGACATCGCGCTGGGTCGTGCTTGGTTCCCACCCCGCAGGCGGATCAAGGGACAGCTCTCAGCCCCGAAGGCCTGAGGGGTGTGGGTGGGCGGATGGCTGAGGCCTCGGTTCCTATGGAGACAGCAGGATTCAGGATGCTGCCGGCGCGGGTTCCCGTCCAGATGGGCTGGGAGCTGGGGGCAGGGAGCCCACATGGGGGAAGGTCAGCCTACAGCACCCCGGCTGACCCCCCATCGTCCTCTCTGTGCTCATGACGCCCCCTTCCCTGCAAACCCGCAGACTGATTTTCTGTGTTACCTCAGGCTGCTGTCTCCCCCTCTCTGGGCCCTGAGGAGAGTCCCACCTCAGGGGCTGGGGAGCCTGAGGGACTTCCAGCTGGGAAAAGGCCAGGGGAGGAGGGGGGGCTTGGGAAAAAGGGACCATCTGATGGTGGGGCCCTGGGCTGGAGGGCAGAGCGTGCGCGTGTGTGCAATGTGTGCACGCCCACACGCTTTGTTGGGGAAGTGTGATAGGAAGGAAGATGGGAGTGGCTCGTGTGCGAAGCAAATTTTGCAGCCGTACATTTGGGTGCGTCTGCCCTGAGCATGCAGGTTCTTTGTTTCCTGGTGGGTAAAGGGAAGTGCGTCCGCAGGGGTGTCGGGTGAAGGTGCGCTACGTCCGTGTCTGTCTCTGAGCTTGTCTCGGGCCCTAACCCTCCTGTGGTTCCCCCCTGCTCTGGCTGCTGCTCACTTAATGCTCTTCTGGCCCCTCACACGCCCCCTTTCCCAGCCAGCACCTTTCTGTTCCTCAAAATCACCAAGCTCGTTCCTGCCTCAGGACCTTGGCACATGCTCCTCCAGCCATGCAGATGCTTGTCCTCACCCTCTCTCCCCACTTTGCCTGACTAGCTCTGCAGGAAGCCCTTCCTGACCCCTCCTGTCCCCACTCCCAGACCCAACCAGATACCACTGAGCCAACCACGGTCACAGGACTTCTTTCACTGTGTCATAGGAACTCAGGAGAGAGCACCCGCCTTCTGCGGGTGGGGGTGCTCTGTGGGATCATGGGCCTGGCATCTCTTCCTCGGATCCCCCATCACCTGCATGGCTTGGTACCCAGTTGGGGTGCTTATGAAGCGAATGATGAATGAATGGACGGATGGAACCGTGCATGTTAGTTACTGGGTGTTTGTGTGATCCTGTGTATCTGATGTGTATAGCTGTATGTACGTGAGTGTGTCTGTGGGTCTCTGTGTGTGTCTACATGTGTCGGTGTGTAGAAACACATAGATGTGTATTTCTAGAAATTTCTGAGGCTGCATATGTGTATCTGTGTAGGTGTCTCTGGCTTCCTTATTGTATCTGTGAGTGTCGCTGTTTCCGTATCTGTGTGTGTGTATGTGTGTGTGTCTGGGTGCAGCTTGTGCAGCCCAACTACCCCCAGCCCCCTGTACCCCCCTTTGCAGGACAGCAACTGTGTGGCGGAGCCTGCGCCCTTTCTGGGGGGAGGAGTACACGGTGCACCTGCCCCTGGACTTCCACCGCCTGGCCTTCTATGTGCTCGACGAGGACGCTGTTGGGTCCGTATGCTGGGGGCCCTGGCCCCTCATCGGGGGGGGCGGGCACCCCACAGGCCCCGCCCGTGATGTCTGCCCCGTACTCCACGGTTGGGGCCGGGGACCTTGACCTGGCCCCTCCCCTGCCCCTTCCCACAGGCATGACGACATCATCGGCAAGATCTCACTGAGCAGGGAGGCGATTGCAGCGGATCCCCGAGGTGGGCGAGGGGTGTGGGTCCTCAGCCAGGCAGAGGGAGGAGGGGTGGCCATGCCCAGGGTGGGCATTGGCAAGGGCATAGCAAGTGCTATGGGAAACACAGAGCCCTCAGTGGAAAATTATTTCCGTTTTTGTTTTCAAATAGGACAGAAACGGGGGTGGAGGTGTGGGGAATACCACTGGAAGGACAGTGGGCGGAGAAGCAGGCAGTGTAGTCAAAGAGGGCGTCCTGGAGGAGGGGGAATGAGTTGGTCCTTAAAGAGCGACTTCGCTTTGGCAAAGAGGCTAAGGATTCTCATGCAGGGTGAAGTGTGGGCCAGGCCAGAAGGAGTCTTTTGTGGGGGTTGGCTGGAGAAGGCCCTAGGTGCCAGACCAGGGTCTGGGCTTTTTTCTGGAGGTACTGGGGATCCATTGATAGTTCTTGAGCAAGACAGTGAATGGACTGGAGCCACGTGATAGGGGGATGGACTGACACGCGAGATTAGACACATTTTCAGATCTCTGTGCTGCTCTGTGGACACTGGACCACAGTGGGACAGCAGTAGATCTGGGAGATCAATTTGGCGCCTGCGCAATAACCCAGGGAGAGCAAGCTGAGGGCATCCTGGGCTTGGGGGCGGGAGTGCAAATAGAGAGAGCGAAGCGGAACTTCCACTTCTAGCAGCAAGGGGGCACCGCGTCTTCAGAAGGGCCCTCCTGCCACATCACAGTGAGACCCTGAATGAGATGGGATTCCTAATACATTGTTGGACTTGCTGTAGAGAAGAGATACTCCCCAGTATTCTCCTCCCATCCCCCCGTCGTCAGCAAAACCTAACAGGGAGCGGTGAGCAACAGCAAGGGAATGAGGAAGGAGTTCCCCGAAAATAAATGTCAGCATCAAATCCGCAGTCAACAGGCTAAATCTTGAGCTCGGGCCAAGGCAGATGGCACTGACCCTGAGACTTCCCCATTGGACCGAGACCGAGACCCTTAAAGGGGCTCAGAACCAGCAAGCACCGCTCCTCTCCAGGGGTGAGCATCCTCATGCTGGCTTTCCCACAGAATGAGGTCAAACAAACATGAATTCACAATCAAAAATCACCACACACACCATGCCTAGTACATGGTAGGTGCTTGACACATGTTAGCGCCTGTGCCTTCCAGGAATTGACAGCTGGATTAACCTGAGCCGTGTGGACCCGGATGCGGAGGTGCAAGGTGAGATCTACCTGGCCGTGCAGATGCTGGAGGATGCGCGGGGCCGCTGTCTTCGCTGCCACGTGCTCAAGGCCAGGTATGGTCATGGTGTGGCGTGTAGGCAGTCATCTGAGAATGAGCAGGAATCCCCTCGTTGCCGCCAGCTGCCTTGGCCTGTGGGATCTCCTCACTTCTGAAGCACTTCTGTGCTCATAACCAGGATCCCATGTAGGCAAACAGTTCAAGCTCACTGGATTGCAACTTCCTGGGGTCAAAATACAAACAAAAACCTTGTTGGGTCCCCAGCGGCCAGCAACCAAAGGCCAGACACTCTGGATGGCCAGACAGATGAGTGTGGAAGCGTATTAATCAAATTGTAAGCAGTAGATACCCAATTCATATAGACTTGAGCAGATTGTCTCATATGAATGATGTAGCTTCAGGCATGGCTGGATCCAGGTGCTCAAATGGTGACATTAGGAATCCATAGATACAGATTCCTCAGCTGTCTTTTGTGTTAGTTTTATTGCAAGTCTCTCCCCTGGTTGGGGCAAAGATGGCCCAGCAACCTCAGCTGCCATCCTAATGACTTGGCAGTTCCAAAAGAACTTCTATCTCTTACCACTTCCAACCGACGTTTTGGGAATAGTTCTTACTGACTCTGTCTGGGGCACATGCCTGTCTCTGAGTCGATTACACTGATTCTGATTTGTCAGGTCTGAGTCACAAGCCAGTTCCTGGAGTGGAGGGAGGGACCAGCCCACCTAAGGCAGGTGGGTTGGGAGTGAGGGAGGGGAGGTCTTGTCCCTAAGAAACATCAGGAGAATGCAAGACCAGAAAAACCCACAGTGACCCTCCAGGGGCACCAGCTCACAGGATATCCATCTTTCCTCCTGCCTGTTTATCACTGTGTAACCCCCTTTCTCTCTCTCTCTGAGTTCCCCTATCATTCTGCTTCCTTAAATACTTTCCCCCTTCCCCCCCTCATCTCCCATCTTGTCTTTCTGCCTTTTTTTCACACCTTACTCCCCCAACCTTCACTTGTAGGCCAATTCTTGCTGAGGTTGGGGAGGATCTCAATTTCTAGCTTGCTGTGTGACTTTAAAGTCCTTTCTTGCCCTCTCTGTGCCTCTCCCACCACCTCCAGATTCCTGCCCCCAGCTGGGCATCCCTGCCTAGAGTCTGGATGAAGGAGTACCAGGGGGGTAGGGGACAGGAGAAAGGACTCAGCATGGGACAGGGCCTCCTCCCCAGCCACAAGGCAGTGCAGGATCCTTGCAACAGGAAAGGGACCGATTGCTGTCGCTTAGCAACTGGGCTGGCTCCTAGGAAACCAAAGAAGGCTTTGGATGCTGAGCTGCGCTGGGAGAGGAGCAGCAGGAGGAAGGAAGCAGCCCCTGGGGGGGGTCCCTAGATTTGGGGGACCTCAGGAAGGAGGAGTGAGGGAGGCTGACTGGGGCGAGACTTTAGGGTTGTCATGACAACCAGAGGCAGGGGTCTCTGCCTCATGCCTTTTCTTGGGTCCTAGGCAGGGTGTGGGCATGAGTGTTTGTTGAGTGAATGACAGAGCTGAGCCCTTGCCACCTGCCAGCTGCTATGCCAAGCCCCTCACGAACATCATCTCACTTACCCTTGGCCCATGAGGTTGGTCTGGTATTACTCCCTGTTCCAGATGAGGAAACCGAAGCTCAGGGAGGTGAAGTGAGCATACCCAGGGTCACCCAGTCAACGAACAGCAGAGTCAGGCTTTGAATCCTGGCTTCTGGTCTCCCATCCAGGGGCTCCAAACACACTGAGGCTCCCTTCCCCCTCCCCACTACCCCACCACCTGCTGGGCTTTGAGATTCAGAACTTGATCTTTCTGTGCCTCAGTTTCCTCACCTGGAAAATAGGGGCATTACTAGTGCCTCCCCATAGGGCGGTGTCAGTCAGTAGGACGACACGGGGTTTGGACGGGCATGGTGACCGGTGCTCCCCCTGGGTCCCTACAATGGAGCAGTTCATTACCTTGGAAATCAGTGGCATTTGAATGGTCTACCCTGAACCCCTTTTCCAAGGTCCAGCTTGGGTCTTGGTCCTTGAGGGTCCTGTGTTCCCCATTCCCATCCTCATCTGTCCCCAGGGACCTGGCCCCCCGAGACATCTCCGGCACATCTGACCCATTCGCACGTGTGTTTTGGGGCAGCCAGAGCTTGGAGACTTCGGTGAGTGGTGGAGGGGGGCTGGAGAGGAGTGGGGTGTTGGGTGGTGGGGTCCCTGTCAGCTCTCTCTTCCCCTCTCCTCCCCCAGACCATCAAGAAGACTCGCTTCCCACACTGGGATGAGGTGCTGGAGCTACGGGAAATGCCAGGCGCCCCATCCCCGCTGCGGGTGGAGCTCTGGGACTGGGACATGGTGGGCAAGAACGACTTCTTGGGCATGGTGAGCACTGCCCCACCACTCTCCATGGCTCCCCACTGCCCACAGGAAGGAAAGGGAGGTGGGCTGGGTATGCGGGGGTTCAGAAGGATAGATGTGAAGGCTGCCTCACCAGGTCCAGGGGGATGGAGTCCTATTGCCCCATTGTACAGTTGGGGAGACTGGGGCTCTCAAAGGTGGTGGGGCAGGGCTTGGGGGCCTTCTGGGCTGTCTTTAGCCTTGTGATAGATGCAACTGTGTCCCTGAACAGAGCTGAAAATATGCCCAGTCTGACATGCTCTCTAGCAGCTGTGTGACCTTGGGCAAGTCATTGCACCTCTCTGAGCCTCAGCTTTCTCAAATAAGTGTCCCTGGAGGCCCTTCGTGCCCTGCAGGACTAGTCATTTGGGACTGGGGGAGGGAGTGGCACTGCTGCTGTGTCGATGGGACATGGTGGGGGAGGAAGAGATGGTCCCTGGCAGGCTAGGCCTCCCCTCCTTGGGTGGGCAGTCTGAGCTCTTCTTCCGGTGCTGGATGGGGCTGGGCAGGGCTCGGCTGAGGGCCTGTGCCCCCCACAGGTGGAGTTCCCCCCAAAGGTCCTGCAGCAGAACCCACCCAACGGCTGGTTCCGTCTCCTGCCCTTTCCCAGAGCTGAGGAGGATTCTGGGTAAATGTGGGCCGAGGGAGGAGACTATGTTGGGCACCATCTTCAGCCTGTGGTGGGTCCTCATGGGTGCCCACGTGAGCCTGCAAACTGTCACCATGTCACTCTGTTCACTCGTTTAGCAGACGTTTGCGAATGTCTCACGGTTGTGTTGACACATGTCCAAACGAGTCCACCTTGTACCCGTTCCACCTGCGAACCTGCCAGTTCACACTTGATGTGTGATCAGAACCCTCGGTCCTTCCACACCTGCCCACACCCGTTCACACCTGCCCACGCCTGCCCACGCCTGCGTGCTTGTCCACGCCGGCCACACTGCTCACACTGCCTGCCCTGGCCCATGCCTGTTTGGACCGGCTCACACCTCTTTAGACTTGGCCACGCCTGTTCACACCTGCGCACACCTGCTCCCACTCTCCTCGTTTCGCAAATCGCCACGCTCCTTACCCGCGCTCACACTTGCCCCCCTCGGCTCCCGCGCCCGCCCCTACCCGCTCCCATCCTTACGCCTGTGGTCTGCCCCCGCCAGGGGGCACCTGGGCGCCCTGCGCCTGAAAGTGCGCCTCACCGAGGACCGGGTCCTGCCCTCCCAGTGCTACCGGCCGCTGCTGGAGCTGCTCATGGAGTCCGTGCAGGGGCCGGTGGAGGTGGGTGCGGCGGACAAGCAATGGCGCCAGGGCTGGGGGAAGATCCGGGGGGGATCCGGATCCTGGCCTCCCCCTGCTTCAGGGAAACCCATGCGGGCTCTGCTGCTTTGGAGTCCCAGGGCCCTGGGCCACCTCTCCTGCCTCCTGTCCTTGCCCAGGAAGATGTTTCCAGCCCCCTGGCTCTGCTGGAGGAGTTGACCTCAGGGGACTGCCGCCAGGACCTTGCCACCAAGCTGGTGAAGCTCTTTCTTGGCCAGGGTCTGGCTGGGCCCTTTCTGGACTATCTCACCCGGCGTGAGTTGGCGAGGACCAGTGAGTTGCCCGCATGACCCTGGACCTCACTCCCCAGGGATGAGTCTGCAGAGGGTCTCTGGGGAGTGAGGGGGCGCTCGGTGGAAGAGGGGCTCCTATGTGTGCGCGTGTGTGTGGAGGGGTCCAGCCAGCTGATTTTGTTACTCTCGAGCTGTGTGACCTTAGACAGATCGCTTAACCACCCTGGGCTTCTGTACTGTGAATAGAGCTGAGGTTGCAGGTCTCCTGATTCCTGAGGCTGGAAGAATCCTGACCTCCACCTTGGGTGGGTGGGGTGAGGTGGATCGGACCCCCAAACCCCAGAAAACCCTTCCTTCTGCCCTCCCAGCCGACCCCAACACCCTCTTCCGTTCCAACTCTCTGGCATCCAAGTCAGTGGAACAGTTCATGAAGGTGAGTAGGCAGAGGCCTGGCGGGGCCCAGGGACAGCTTCAAGGGGATCCCTTTCCAGTGCTTTCCTGGACCCCAGAGCTTGGCTGGCTTCAGGTGGCTGTGGGTAGCTGAGCCAGGGTGCTGGTTGTGGGTGCCTGGCCTCTCACCCTGAGTGGCACCCTGGGTAGTGCCCCCGCCCCAGCCCTCGGGCATGCCTTGGCCTCTCTCTGAACCTCTCCCTGCATGGTGCCCCCTGCCCCGAGCTCACGGGCACGCCCCGGCCTCACCCTCAGCCCCGCCCCGTGTGGTGCCCCCCGCCCCCAGCTCGTGGGCATGCCCTACCTGCACGAGGTCCTGAAGCCAGTGATTAACCGGGTCTTCGAAGAGAAGAAGTACATGGAACTGGACCCATGCAAGATGGACCTGGGCCGCAAGTGAGCAGGCTGAGGGGGGACCCTGGCCCAGGCAGCCCCTGTGCCCCTGGAGCTGTCAGGCTGGGCCTGTGCCTTCTTCCGCCTCAAAGTCTCCCCTGTGGGCACCTCATCCTCGGGCTGCCTGGTGTAGTGGTTCCAGGCAGGACTCGGAAATCTGAGCTCCCTGGGTTCAAACCCCGGCTCTGCCACCGCTGGTGTGCAAGTTCCTTCCCCCTGCAGGGCTGTGAGAATGAACTGAGTTATACACGCACAGCCCAGACTGCAGGCAGAAAAGTGCCACTCCACTGTCCACTTGGCAAAACAATTTTTGAGCACCTACTGTGTGCCAGGCAGGGCTGAACACTGAGTTCACAGCCCAGGACCCATGGACAAACTTCTCCTCTGGGGGGAGACAGATGATAAACTAAAGAAGAAGTTTCTTGCAGACGGTCAGTAGAATGGAGGAAAATAAAGCTGGGGAAGGTTGCAGGAAGTGCCAGGAGCAGGGGAGGGGCTTGCCTGTACCATAGGGTGGTGACAGGGACAGCTTCAGAGGAGGGGACATTTAAGCAAACACTTGAAGGAGGCCAGGGAGAAAGTCATGTGCAGGAGTGTTCCAGGCAGGGGGACGAGCAAGTGCAAAGGCCCTGGGGTGGAAGTGTGTGTCTGGCATGTCCATGCTGAAAATGCCTTTTGCTCCAAGGTCTGTGATGGTGTGTGTGTGGGGGGGGGCTTTTTGAGGAGGTGACATTTAAGCTGATGTGGGAGCAAGAGTGTCCCAGGCAGAGGGAACAGCACGTACAAAGGCTCCCAGACAAGAACGATCTGCCGGTGTTTAAGCAGCGGCAAGGAGCGGGTGGGAACGGCAGGAGGGGCAGTGGTGGTGGGTGGGAGGCGGGTGCTGTCTAGCCCAGTGGGGGCCGTTGGAGGGTTATGAGTGGGCAGGGGCTGGGCTCCGAGCCAGAGCCGCTCCGCTTGCTCCCCCAGGAGGATCTCCTTCAAGGGCACCCCCTCCGAGGAGCACGTGCGGGAGGCCAGCCTGGGGCTGCTGACGGGCTACCTGGGGCCCATCGTGGATGCCATCGTGGACTCCGTGGAGCGCTGCCCGCCTGCCATGCGCCTCGCCTTCAAGCAGCTGCATCGGCGCGTGGAGGAGCGCTTCCCCCAGGCAGAGCATAAGGTGGGCTGGGCGCTCCCACTGGGCAGATGGGGAGACTGAGGCCGGGGGGGGCAGGAGCTTGTCCAGGGGCCCGTGGAGAGGCCCGGAAACTGGGCTGCATGCCAAAGTACTCTGTGGCCCATCCCTGGAGCCTGGGTTGAGAGCTCCTCATTTATGCCACATTGCTCCCCGCTTCCTGTTCACGGATGGGGAAACTGAGGCTCAGAGGGGTAAAGACCTTGGCCAAGGCCTCCAGACTCCCAGCGGGGGTGTCTCCTTTCTCTCCTGTAGTTGGCCTCCCCCCACCCAGGAGTGGCCTCCAAACTGGGACGCCCCACTTTGCTGGGCTCTCACCTGGGCTGCCGGCAGAGGCACTAAGTGGGACACAGCTGTGGCAGGGAGGAGGGGAGGGGAGGCCAGCTCCCCAGACAGGCTGGCCCTTGTGGGTGGAGCCAATATCAGGGACACCCGAGTGTCCCCAGTTCTCAGCCCCCCCAGTGGGAAAGGCTTGGGCAGGGAACAGGGACTTTTTCAGGCCCAGTCTGGATGGGGTCAGGGGAACCCAGGGGAGCCCCTTTCTCTGCCTCTCGGACACCCGTTCCTCCTCAGGGAAGGGGGAAGCTAAAATTACCCTTGAACATGGAGGGCGGGGGTGGTGACCTTGGGGGCAGTTCAGGGTTCCAGATGAGCCAAGTGGGGGCAGAGACCCTCCCTCTGGGCAGCTCCAGGTACCCAGCCCCCAGTAGGGCTCACTGTCAACACAGAGGTGGCCCAGGNAAAGGCTTGGGCAGGGAACAGGGACTTTTTCAGGCCCAGTCTGGATGGGGTCAGGGGAACCCAGGGGAGCCCCTTTCTCTGCCTCTCGGACACCCGTTCCTCCTCAGGGAAGGGGGAAGCTAAAATTACCCTTGAACATGGAGGGCGGGGGTGGTGACCTTGGGGGCAGTTCAGGGTTCCAGATGAGCCAAGTGGGGGCAGAGACCCTCCCTCTGGGCAGCTCCAGGTACCCAGCCCCCAGTAGGGCTCACTGTCAACACAGAGTTGGCACCCACCAGGGAGGGTATTGTCTCGTGTGTGAATCCAGCCTCTAAATAAACACCTGAGCCCACTCTCAGGTTAAATACAGCCGGTGAGCATGAGGGGTGAGAGGGGCGTGGCTTGGGCGGAGCCAGGTCACCCAGGATGGAGACACACCCCTTTCCTGAGTCCCCTATGCCTTACCTGCAGGTGGCCAGGCCTGGGACTCACATAGACAGGCACCCCGCTTTACAGTTTATACCGGGCAGAGGCTGGGGCTGGGGGTGCGCACGGGACAGGCTCTGGAGCCAGCCCAGCTGGTTCACTATGAGCATCAGTTTCCTCATCTAGCAAAAGGAGATAAAGCCCCCAGGCCGACCAGGATGGCCTGACCCATCTCCCATTTCACTTCCTCTTGCACCACCAGTCTCTAGTCCTTGCTGCCTCAGTTTTCCCAGCAGGGAAATGGGTTTTCGGGGGGAGGGGCTCTCACTCGCTGCTCTCCTCGGCAGGATGTGAAGTACCTGGCCATAAGCGGCTTTCTCTTCCTGCGATTCTTTGCCCCTGCCATCCTCACCCCGAAGCTGTTTGACCTCCGGGACCAGCACGCAGATCCCCAGACCGGCCGCTCACTGCTGCTGCTCGCCAAGGTGCCAGTGGTGGGGCCCCATCCTGGGTGCTCTGAGCCAGGGGAAAGCATGGTAGAGACAGGGTGGGGAGGCCAGACTTGCGTAAGACCCAGATGAGACCCAGAGAGACCTGTCTGAAACACCACCAGCAGCCTCTATCCTGAGTGCGAAGGCATTCATTATGCTCTCTCGTTTTCTATTTTGAAACAAAATCCTGACCCTTCCCAGAGGAAAGTGGGAAGTGGGCTAGTAGTCATATACACCTTAGTATAAATTAGACCAGCCTTTGCAAAGTGGCCACATTTTGAGATTCTGATGGGCTCGAGTCCTGGGTAGGAGGCCCTGGGCTCAGGAGGGAATGGAATAATAAGGGCACTGGGGGTGTACGTCTGTCCACAGAGGGGGACAGATATTGCCCAAAGCAGGTGCTGCTATGAGTCTCCTTTCTTTGAATACTGATTTGGGAGCCAGGATTCTGGGACTCTGTTCTGGGTACACAGAGGGCCTCCCCTCCCCTGCAGTGACCTTGGCCCTGGCATCCCCTGCTTCTTTGCCCCAGGCTGTGCAGAGCATCGGAAACCTGGGCCAGCAGCTGGGCCAGGGCAAGGAGCTGTGGATGGCCCCCCTGCACCCCTTCCTGCTGCAGAGTATCTCTCGTGTGAGAGACTTCCTGGACCAGCTGGTGAATGTTGATGGGGAGGAGGGTGAGTTCCAGTGGCCCTGCCATGTCTGGCTTGTCCCTGCCCTAGGCCATTGGGACCTGCCCTTCCTCCACCTCTCCCCCACCCCTAGCACTGAGACTGTGGACCTGTGTGTCAGCTAGTCAGTCAACTAACACTTCCCGGTGCCTACTCTGCCATTCCAGCCAGTGTAGAGATGTAGGTGGGGATTGTGGCATGGTGTTCATGGAATTGACAAATATCTATGAAGTGCCTACTATGTGATAGGCACTGTTCCACATGCCTGGGAAACAGCAGTGAACAAGACAGAAGAAACTCCTGCTCTCCTGAAAGTTTCATCCTAGTGGAGACAACAGGCTGTAAATGAGATGAGTTAGCAAATCCTGGCCTTGTAGGCAGTGATAAGTGCAAAGGGGGAAGGGTAAAGGAGGGGAGGGAACGTTGGGGTGGGGGTGGCAGGTCAAACTGTCAGATGGGGTGGCCAGAAGTAGTCTCACTAGAGTGAAATTAAAGCCCCGAAAGAGGACAGGGAGCAAGCCATGAGGATCCTGGGGAAGAGAGTTCCAGGCCGGGAACAGCATGTGCAAAGGCCCTGAGGTGGGGACAGAGAGCAGCAGCGAGGAGGCCTGTAAAGAAGAGTGAATGAGGGGGAGCAAAGGGGAGGTGAGGGGGCCAGATTGTGCCCGGCTCTGTAGGCAGTGGGGAGGATTTGGGCCTTGACTTGGAGTGACATGGAGCCACAGGACAGTTTTAAGCAGAGTTGGGGTTGGGTCCATATCACAGTGTGGGGCCGAGGTCATCAGATAGTTGGGTCCAAGCCCTGGTTGTGGCTGGAGGGGTCCCTGTGGTGCTGGGGAGGAGCCTGTGTCTGGCTCCCTGAGAGGGGCTGGATCTGGACTGACCCCAGAGGCATGGCTCCCCCTGCTGGCTGCCTGCGCCACTGCCTGCAGATCCCTCAGGCAGGAGGGACCATCAGGCCGAGTGGACTCATCCTCCTGGCTCTACCCGAGCAGAGAATCATGCTCATCTGTGAGACCCTGGACGTGCTGCCAGGGCAGGTGGAGCCTGAGCAGGAAGGGTTCACTGTCCCCTCTCCCCATTTCCCAGAGGCTGGGGGCCCGGCCAGGGCCCTGGTCCCGCCCTCGGTGACAGTTCGGGAAGGCTACCTGCTGAAGCGCAAGGAGGAGCCCACCAGTCTGGCCACGCGCTTTGCCTTCAAGAAGCGGTACTTCTGGCTCAGTGGGGAGATGCTCTCCTACTCCAAGAGTCCTGAGTGGCAGGTGGGGCTTCAGTCCACAGGGGAGGGGTTCCCAGTGGGGGCCCACTCAGAGAGCGACCTTTTGCACCCAAGGGGACACTGAGGCCCACGATGGGGCAAGGGCTTGCGCTTGCCCAAGGCCCCGTAGTAACTTGGCAAGTTCAAACTCAGGCCAGGCTCTGCTCACAGCCTTGGGTCAATGTGGGCCCAGGCCAGGGACAGGCGTACAACCTACACACACTCATCAGCAAATGTACTTCAGCATATGCACTGGAGTGGCCCAGACGTACCCACCCAGATGTGGACACGCACAAGACAAGGACAATACTTAAGCACCCTGAGCTGTTCCCAGCCCGGCCTCCGCCCACATACCATAGAGACTCCCATCAAACGGGATCTGCTCACCGGAGGTACCTGCCGGGCTGTTAGGCACACACGTCCGGACATTCGTTCACTCACTCATTCACTCATCAAACACCTATTGAGTGCCTACTACGTACCACGCAGCGTTCTGGGCATGGAGATATGGCAGCAAACAAGACGGAAACGCTGTTCTCATGGGGCTGCCATTCGAGTCCAGCACAGACAGAGACACATACTGGTTCTACCCACTGTGTGTACGCACCACAAATAATAATAGCAAACAGTGGAGAGGGCACCAGCGTATTGGCTCTGCTTTGTCAGCAGAGATTCTAGCTCCCTGGGTTCTAATTCTGGCTCTACCAGATGAGTGACCTGGGGGGGGGGAGGGAAGGGGTGTCATTTATCCTCTTGTGCATCAGTTTCCTCATCTGCAAATTGGAGAGAATATTAGGCCCGGCTTCAGAAATGGGAAGCGCTTAGAATCACATCCCAAGTGCCATGGTGACAACGATGGTGGTAGTGGTGGTGGAGGAAACTGATGCCCAGCGAAGTTGTCACTTAGAGAGTGATGAGGCAGGACTCGGGGACTCAGATACACAGGGTGATAGCCCTTATCCCCGGGGACACCGCGTGACGCGCCCCCCCAGAGGAAAGCTGCCCCTGGGGCCCCGCGCGCCCCGCGCAGCGCCTGTCCTTTCCCGCAGATGCGCTCCTCCATCCCCGTGGCGCACATCCGCGCCGTGGAGCGCGTGGACGAGGGCGCCTTCCAGCTGCCGCACGTGATGCAGGTGGTGACGCAGGACGGCTCCGGGACGCTGCACACCACCTACCTCCAGTGCAAAGTGAGGCACTGCCAGGGTGTGTGTTGGGGGGGAGGGCGTCCCTTGAGCCCCCCCTCAGCCCTCACCGCTCCCTCCCCCTCTCCCCGCAGAACGTGAACGAGCTGAACCAATGGCTGTCGGCCCTGCGCAAGGCCAGCGCCCCCAACCCCGGCAAGCTGGCCACCTGCCACCCGGGCGCCTTCCGGGGCGCGCGCTGGACCTGCTGCCTCCAGGCCGAGCGCTCAGGTGAGGGGGCGGGGCGGACTCAGGCTCCGCCCTCCCCACCTGTCAATCAGCTGGCTGGGCGGGCTGTGCAACGTTGGGCAAGTTACTTAACCTCTCTATGCCTCAGTCACCCCGAGTGTGAAATGGGGTTAACAGTGCCTACCTCCTGGAGTCTTGTGAGAATTAAATGTGAGCACCCACTATGCGCCAGGCAGCTAGTGGTACACAGGCAGGCATCAGACGAGCAAATAACCAGACACTTGTAACACAGCTTCCTAAGTGCCAAGATGAGGCTTTTGAGGCTCCAGAGAATGCTGCTGACCCAGCCCCAGGGTAGGAGATCAAGGAGGGCTTTCTGGAGGAGGTGCTGCTTAGATGTGACCTGAGGAGAGTAGGAGTGGAGCAGCGAGGCTGGACTCAGGGAGGGTAAGGAAGACTGTCGCAGGCAGAGCCAATGCCGGGAGCAAGGGCCTGGACTGGAGACTGAGGACAGGGGGATTAAAAAGGCTCAGTGTGGCCGTCGCCTAGACTGTGGGAGGAGGCTGGAGGGAAGTGAGGCCGCTGCTCTGCTGGCGAGGGTGGAGGCAGTGGGGTTTGAAGTAGAGGCAGAGGGAGCAGGGCCTGGCGACAGCCTGCCTTGGGGGCTTCTGGAAGGGGAATGGGAGGGGCCATGGATGATGCTATGTCCCCTCAGCTGCTGGTTGTAGCCACACACACTCGGCTGTCACCCTGGGAGACTGGAGTGACCCACTGGATCCTGATGCTGAGGCCCAGATGGTGTATCGGCAGCTGCTCCTGGGGCGGGACCAGCTCAGGTGGGTGCCCCACTCATCCCACTCCATCCCCTATGACCAGCTGCCACTTAGTCATTCCTTCCATGTGCCTCAGCTGAGGTTGGGGCAGGGGAGGGGGCAAGCTCAAGGGAGGGTGGGGAAGCACCCTCGGGCGGGCCCTAGTGCAGAACTGGATCTTAGCATCTTTACTACTTGGGGCTCCAGAGACACGGGCACAGACTGTGGATGTGTCCCTTCCCCTTCCTGGCCTCAGGACCATTGTTATTCAGCGACAGAGATTTGTTCCAACTCATTACAGTGGGTTCTGAAGCTGGCTTGCATGGGTTCAAATCCTGGCCTGGCGACTTACTGGCTGTGTGATCTTGGGCAAGCTGCTCACCTTCTCTGTACCTTAGTTTCCTCATTGGGAAAATAGTGTTAGTAATAGTACCTGCCCCATGAGGTGTCCTGAGGATCAAATGAGCTAATACAGGTCAAATGCTGTGTAGGCGCCTGGCCACATAGGTAGCTTTCAATAAATGGTAACTAGTAGGATGCTGTGCAATCTTAGGTAAGTTACTATACCTCTCTGTCTCAATGATCATCAGTACAATGGAGCTGATAGTAAGCACCTACCTCAGGTAAGTTTTTGCATGATGATTGAATGAGTTAATCCATGTGAAGGGCTGAGAATAGCGTCTGGGACTATACATGTTGGCTGCAATGAGGATGTTGGTGATGCTGATGGGTCAGCACCTGTAATGTCTCCTGCAACCAGCAGAGAATCTCTGGGGTAGAGAGTAGATTGGGAATCAGGGATGAGCCTTGTGTTTCTCCCTCTCAATTTCTAGGATGAAATTCCTGGAGGATTTCAACATGGATACAAGTCCAGAGTCAGACACAGGGGACTCCAGTGCCACGGAAGGTAAGGGTTGAGGTCCCTTTCCTTTGCCCTCTCTGACACTTCCCACAACCTGCCAAGCATACCCGTGTCCTTTAAGTCACTCTCCTGTTTCCAGTCCACCAGCAGGCCCGGGGCTATGTGTGTGGGTTCTAGTACCTTTTAGGATTCTCAGGCACAAGGCAAATCTGGAGCCCAAGAGAGCCACCGGGTGTGGGTCATGGCAGCCTGTCCTGACCTGGCTAAGGCCCTGTGGCCCCCTGTCTCCCTCCCAGGGGCCTGTCCTGATGCCCTGGCCCGGCAGCGAGAAGCAGCGACCCGCCTGCTGGAGGTGCTCGAAGACCTAGATCGAGCCCACGAGGAGTTCCAGTGGCAGGAGGCTGGGAAGGTGGTCTCGGGTCCCCTTGGGCCCTGAGGAAATGCCACAGCCAGCCTGGGAGGAAGACTTAGGAGCTACTGGGCCTGTGTCAGTGTACCCTGTTCCAGGAGTCTCCCTGTGGCTGTCCTATACCGCGTTGATGCTGTGGCTTGGAGCTGCTGGGGATCTCCTAGTCCCATGGGCTTTAAGCCCAAAACCTGGAACATGGAAGAAGGGGACCAGCCTTGCACTGAATCAGTCACCCTCTGGGTTGAGGCAGACTGGAGTGGCTGGGATAAGGAACCTGACTCATTTGGCTCAGCCTGAGGCCTCCGCTTCAATGGAATGGTCTCTATCCACACCAATGAGGCCAGCCTGACCCTGAGCTGCTGGATCCAGCTGTACCTGAATCCCTGATGCCCATGTGGCCTTGTTGCCCCAGACAAGCACTAAACCAGCTCAGCCCTTCCTTGTTTTCATGTCTGCCAATCACTGTAATCTCACTGATTCTCCCGAACCCTACCCTTGGCTGATGGTCCTAACCTCAAGCTCCCAGAATCAGGTGCCCTCAGAAAGAATAGTCTGGGAGCCCAATGTACAAGACTCAGACAGACCCTTGGAGTCGGGGAGACCTTGGGCCAGGCTCCTTTCCTCTCTTTGAGCCTCAGTTTACCCTGGGTAAAATGAGGAGGGAGTGACTTAGATGTGTCGTTTTCCAATTAGGTCCCAGAGAGGTAGCTCAGGAGCCAGGGAGGAGTTTCTGGGACTGTGGCCCACAGCCCAACCCCCAGCCCCCTGGGGTGTCTGCTAGAAACACAGCTCCCTGGGCTCCACCCACATCTGCATCACAATCTGAAGGCGTGTGGGTGGGAGGAGTCAGGATGCTTAACAAGCTCCTCAGGTGATGTGGATGAACCTGAGATTTGAGGATCACAGGGCCGGCGATTTTATCGAAAATGTTTGCAAACACCCGACCGGTGATACTGGAAGGGCCTCCAAGGACTCGTTTCCGGTTTTGCGTGACTATAGGACTATAGGGTGGGACAGAAACTGAACCTACCTGGCTGGGGAGAGGGTGGACCAGGATCCAGCGCTATCCCACGGGTGGCCAGCAGGGGTCGCAGCGTCAACAGCAGCCACCTGGGCTCGCGGGGACACTGCAAACGCTGATCAGAAAGCTTGTTGCACGTCCTGGGATCTGTCCCTGTCTCTCCGGAGACAGAACCTGGCCCTCCGTCCCCAGGGCAGGGGCTGGGGCTCTGAGGTACCCAGGAGCTGATATGGTGTCTCCCAGCTCTCTGCCCGACTGTCCCAGGGGCTCAGAGCTCCCGGCCTGCGTTCCTCATTGCTCGGGATTGTGCCAGGGAGCACCGTGTGCACGGCCTGGTGCCCATGCCCGAAAGGCACCAGGGAGCTTTAACCTCCGCCCTCTTGGGTAGGGTCAGCCTTTGCCGCCCTCAAAACCTCTGCCCCAGGACAGGAGAATTATGGGAACCCTGCATCTCCCGCTGCCCGAGGCTGAGAGGGGCAAAGGTCCTGGGGCCGTCCTTTGTTGCAAGCTGCTTTATGGGGTGAACCAAAGGTCCCCAGGAACAGAGCCACCCCCCTCCCCTCCTTCCTTGGCAGGAAAAGACAGGGCGAGGAGGAGAAAGACCGTTTATTTCTCCACCCACAGTGGGACTGGTAGGTTTTCAAAAGAGCAATCGCTGGCGTCCCTTTAATCCGTGGCTGACTTCCGCCGCGGCAGCCAATCAACAGAGGCGGAGCTGGTGAGTTGCCGGGGCAACAGGCCCCTGGTTGGCGGAGCCCGTCAGCCGCCCCGCCGCCCGCTTCCAAGGACGGGGAACGGGACCCTTTGCGCTCCGGGCTGCTTTTCAGACCCGCAGGCTGCAGCCTGGCCGCCTCGCCTCGCTCCTGAAGCCAGAAGCTCTAGCCTTTGGATCTCGACGTGGGGAGCGATTCGATGGAGAGGATGGGGGTGGGGAGGGAAGGCGAACGGCGCCTTTATCTGGGACAGACAGGAGGCCTGGGGATGGGAAGGGGGGAGGTGGTCAGGGTCCAGAGGATGAGACACGAGCACAGAGTAAGACACCTCTAGTCCCCCGCCCCCTGTGGCCTGCCCTTTTGCAAAACTGCTCAGTAATCTGGGGGCAGAGATGGGGGTCGGCTGAGCTTCCCAAGTGCCCCTTTGTCCCCTAGGAGCCCCCTCAGGTCCCTAAGCGCTAGACCTGAATCCCCCTGCTGGCAGACAGATGTGATAGAGACGCAGATGGGATCCGCATGGGGTGTCACAGGGGTCTTCTGTCTCTTCCTCCCCAGACTGGGGGTAAGTAGAGGCACGTGGGTGTGCGTGCATGTGTTCAACAGGACACGTGTGTTTGTGTGGGGGGGGGGCTCTGTCTTTTTGGTAGGGAGGTCGCTGCGGTTTCTGGTACTCTCCCTGCGAGACCCTCTCCGGGTCGGAGCTGGCTGGCTGGCCGGCGGTCCGTCTTCCCATCGTTCCCCATCGNTGTCTTTTTGGTAGGGAGGTCGCTGCGGTTTCTGGTACTCTCCCTGCGAGACCCTCTCCGGGTCGGAGCTTGCTGGCTGGCCGGCCGTCTTCCCATCGTTCCCCATCCGCCACCAGCCAAATTTCCAGCAGGCTTTCGGCGTCTTCCGCAGGCTCCTCCCCAGCCCTGAACCTGGGCCAGGAGGGCACACCTGGTGGAGGGAGGCCTGAGCCGGACCAGGGGCAAAGCAGGAGGGAAGGTGGGCAGCCCCGGGCCTCAGGCCTTGGCCGTGGCCTCGGACACGCCCTGGGCTGTGAGCTCGGCCAGCACGTTGTCTAGATAGCTAGCGTCTGGGTAGCCGTGGCCCGTGAGGTTGGATCCAAACTCGGTCTTGTGGTGGATCTCGTTCCAAACCACGGTGTCCGACTCGCCGGTGGTGTTGGAGGTGCCGATGGTGAAGATGAGCCTCCGCTCCCAGGCCGTGATGAGCAGTCTCAACACCTGGAGAGCGCGGGGAGGGGGGTCACAGGCAGCCCCCCATGGCTTGAGCCCCTCCAGCCCGGCGTGGCCACTTCCTTCCCTAGAATGACTCCCCCAGTAAAAAGTTCTTTCCAAGTTACCTGCCTGTTTCTTCTGGGGTGAAGGAAGGGTCTTAAACTCATGGCCCCCTGCTGTGTTTGGTTTGGACCCCACACTGTATTAAATATCCACTCTGCAACGTCCTCAGCAATATTAAAAAACCCTAGCCCGGCCGGCGTGGCTCAGTGGTTGAGCCTCCACCTATAAGCCAGGAGGTCACCATCCAATTTCCAGTTTCGGGCTCCATTCCCCATAGGGGGCGTGGAGGAGGCAGCTGATCAGTGACTCTCTCCCATCACTGATGTTTCTATCTCTCTCCCTCTCCCTTCCTCTCTTTGAAATCAATAAAAACCTATTGAAAATAAATAAATAAAATTAAAACCTGGAGATTTCACATGAAAATCAGAATTTCTGGCTTCTCTCGAAAAACAGTAAAAGCAGACAAAATCTATACAGTAGTGTGGTGGTGAAAAGCCTGGACTACTTGGCTAGTAAATACAGGCTCCGTCACTTAGCTGTGTGACCTTGAGAAAGTTACTTGCCCTCTCTGAGCCTCTATTTCTTTANAAAAGCCTGGACTACTTGGCTAGTAAATACAGGCTCCGTCACTTAGCTGTATGACCTTGAGAAAGTTACTTGCCCTCTCTGAGCCTCTATTTCTTTATCTCTGTAAAATGGAGGCAAGACCTTGACCTCAGCAGTGCCTGGCAGGGCCAGACGCACACTAGATGGTTATGGTCAATGCTGGTGTGGGGAGGAGTATGGGAACAGGGACTGGGGGTAACAGGCACCACAGGCCCGGCTGACAGTGGCTGGGGCCCTGGCCCACAGGCCTGCACCCTTGCAATTCCTACCTTCCTGCCCTTCTCGTTGTTGGGCAGATAGCAGTGCCGAGGGAAGCCTCTTGCAGTGAACTTCTTCCCTGGGTTGGGGTGCTCCGGGCCCTGTGGGGAGGAGCAGCAGGGGCTTGAACCCCAGACAGGTGTGGGGGGCCTGTGGAGGGGTCAAAGGAGTTGGGGTCATGGGTCCGAGGGGGGCTCACCTGGATGCCTGTGGGGATGTCATAGACAATGCGGATGGTCTGGGTGTCAGCGAAGCCAGGCAGCGAGTGGGGAATAAGGTGGAACTCCATCTTCCCAGGAGGCTGAGTGCCCGTCTTCTCTCCGTAGATGGCCTTACAGGTGGGGCACTGCAAGCTGCCATCCTGGGGCAGGGGAGGCTGGAGGTGAGGTCCCCAGGCGTCCCTGCTCCGCTGGGCTCCCTTGCCTGCTCCCCACTCACTGTCCCCCCCAGCCCACCTTGTTGCCATTGGAGTACATGGCCACGAGGCACAGCAGGTGGTACATGTGGCCGCAGCGGCCCAGGCGGCCCACGAGCTCGGGCCTAACACCCTTGTGCCGGAGCACGCCCTCGTAGCCGGAGGCCGTGACCAGCCGCTCCATGCAGATGGTGCAGTCCTGCGGGGGACACACAAGGGGAGATTGAGGACATCCATGTATCACAGGAAGAGAACACCCCGTCTACCGAATTCATATATATGGCTCCCTCACACTCCTGTCTGGAGGGATTAAAGGACTATCAAAAGCAAAACTTAAAAAATATGGGTGAAAATAAGATACAAAAACTGTTGATCACCAAAAGATGGACACCTGTGATTCTATTAAACTCCAGCGTTTCTGTTTATCAAAAGACATTGTAGAGATAGTGAAAAGGTAAACCCACAAACTGGGAGAAGGGGC